GGGCGGGCGCGTGCCGGGGCCGCGGCCGGGGATGCGGGGCCGCGGGTGAAGGCGGGAAGGGCGCGCGGAGGGCGGCGCTGCCGGTGCCGTTGGCGCTGCATGGCCGCGCGGCCGTGAGGCGAGCGCGGGCGCAGCATGGCGGGCGTGAGCTACTCGCCGCCCTGGTGGGTGAGCCTGCTGCACCGGCTGCCGCACCTCAGCCTGCGCTGGGAGCTCACGGCCGCCGACTTCCGCCCGCACGACGCCGAGTACCAGCAGGTGAGCGGCGGGGGGACACGGGGGGACACGGGGGGACACGCACACGCGCGGGGTGGCGGCGGGGGGGGTTGTGGGGTCGTTGTGTCCACGCGCGGGGGTGGCTGCCCCGCGGCTCCGGGGGTGGCTGCTCGCGCAGGGGGTCGCGTGCGGGTGTTAACCCACGCGCGCAGGGTGGTGTGGGGATACAGCCACACGCGCTGTGGGCTGTTGTTGCCCGCACTGTTGTGTTTGGGGTGTTACCCAATGCGCTCCCCCGTGGATTTTGGGGGTGGTGGTGAGAGCATCACCCCCACCCCCCCCCCAGACCCCGTGCCCCATTTTGGGGGCAGCTCTGCCCTGTGCGGAGCCCCCACGGGTCCCTCCTGCCATGGGGCTGCCCGAGCCCCTTGAAGGGGAGAGGGCAGGAATCAGCCCCACGGAGGGCAAGGGGGCAGCGCCGGCTTCCCCACGGGCCGCTTTGGGGTCCCCAGCAGGCGCTGGGAGCAGCGCGAGCCCCCCGTGGACGCCCCGGCCCCGCGGATGCCGCGCGCTCCGCGTCCCGCCACAGGCCGAGCGGGTCCCCGCGGCGGCCGCCCGCCGGCGGGTGCCTTGCTGTGTGCGAGCCGCGGTAGAACTGGGCGCGCGGGATGATGCACGCCTTTCCCTTCGTTATTATTTTTATTTATGTGTTTGTTCGGGTGCTGCTTAGCCTGTATGCTGTGCTTGGTTGGCTAGCCCGGTAATTAAAATGATTGTGGGGAGAATCCGTGCGCGCCAACATCTGTGTTCTCTGCTGTCATCTTGGAACGGAGCTGCAGTGGCTCTGCTGCCTCATTTTGCCACGGTCTCTGGTTTCGAAAACACCATTTTGCTTTTCTGAACATACTTGCTGTGCCCTATATATGCAGCCTCCTACCACAGGCACAAGCGAAAAGGCCCGGGCAACAGGGCAGCTCTCCTTTTTCCTAGAAACCAAAGGAATTAGATCTCCTTTGGAAAGCAGTATGTTTTGGCTTTTGGTTTTAAACACGTGAGCAGTTCCATAGGTTGAAGATAGAGCAAAATGTGTGAGATGTTTCAAGAGCACTGGTTAGACACTCTTTAAACCAATAAACAGAGTGGACTTTTGACCCAACTTCTATGTTTTGAGCTTCCGTTGCTTCAGTTGTTTGAGTTGCCTTGGCTTGCGATTTCACGGGGGGCACCCAGATACAGCACAGCAGCTCAGCTGCGCTTCCATGACCTCGGACTGTAGCTGCCTTTAAAACAAGGGCTAGGAGATATTAAAGATCAGAAGTTAGACTCGATGGAAAGATTTTCTTCAGAGTCTATTATCATGAAACAAGTGCTAGTTAACCTTTGAATGGACAGCAGGCGTCCTACTGTTTCTTACTTAAATTGCTTAAAAGCCTTCCTCGCAACCATCTGGGGTTGTCTTCATTTGTCAGATAGTGTTTTTGCAATAATCATACCGAGACTTAAACCCTTCTGTTGTTCTCCTCCTGTGTAGCTGCTTCCCCTCGCTTAATGATAGCAAGGACTTCTTGCACAGCAGTAGATGGCCTTTTAAGTCTCAACATTAGCTCAAAAGAAAACATCTTATCAAATGCAAAAGTGAATGTCTGGATTACTGCGAGGGTCTGCCTTCAAGAGCAAGATTTGAATAGCAGCTTTGCTGGTTGCAGCCTCAGCTGGGGACAGCAAATAGGCTCCACTAATGTGTTCGGTTTATCAGGAGCGCCCTCGCTGCTGGTTATGTAACCAGGCTGCCGCGTTCCCGGGAGCCGCGACTCTGGAGTTTGCAGCCACACAGATGAGTTTAGCGCAGGGAAACAGGGAAATCTAACCCAGGAGTCGAAGCCGTAAAGCTACACGTTCTCTTGTATTTTAAATTGTTCTGAAGGCCTTTGAATTCCAGCTTTTTTCCATTGGCTTTATTATGGATTTGCACCTTTTGCTCTGCTTGCAGCCCTTACTAACATAGTCTCCCCTTTCTTCTAGGAACCTCTTATATTTAGGAGAAGAGATTATTTTATAAAGACATGAAAATAAGAAAGTCTTTTTAAATCTGCATATTACATTGTTTCTTGTTCTGGTGGGTTGGCACAAAGCTTGTGCATCTGTGTATCCTTTTCTTTCCCATTAATGATTGATACCGTTGTTCTTGCACCTACAAGCTGTTGTGCTGTGTGGTGCAACTGAGTTCTCTCATGGCTAAGCAGAGGTCAGCAGGAGATGCTATGTGGGGCTTTAAGGAGATGGGAAAGGACAGACTGCCCCTGGCTGCAGTAAGCAAGGATTACCTTGACTAAACTGCAAATACCTTTAAGTTTCCATGATTTCAAGTTACAGAGCAGCTCGAATGTTGTCATGAATAAGCAAGCAGCAGGGCTCCGTGTCTCTTCTGGTCCTGGTTTGTTATGAGGAAGGAAGCAATGTTTCCTTCCTGATTCTTCAGTGATTCTCTAAAAAAGATGTCCCAACCCATGACCAAGGGAAGATGTTGCTTGCTTCACCGTGTTGCTCCTTGTGCAACCTCTTAGTCAAGGCCTGCTTTGCTGTCCTTGTGTTTTGGTGATAGACTTGGAATGTGTGCATCATTTGAACTTACTGTTTTAAGGAAACTTGGAATGGTGGCTTGGATTTGAATATTTATATGTTGTTTATGGAAGTGCCACGTGCTCTTGCAGGTGAGCAGCCTTGCTCATATAATAGGCTTTGTACCCCTACCTCTTCAGGATTATTTTAATGCGTGAGCCTCTATTCCACTGAAGCAGCAGACAGGGCTGTTGTCCCCTGTAGCTTTCCTGAAGCTTGTGTGGCTCATAGATAAGCACACGCTGCCCCTCTTTGAAGTCTGGGTCTCTGTTGTGCCTTCCGGGACCCTGGGTGATGGGGCATATCTCCTAACACAGATCTAACGACCAGTTCCAGCCTTCTGTCCCATATAGTCCCTTCCTTCAGGGCGGGAGGGACACCCGCTGCGCGCCGGCCTGTCTCGAGGCAGCTGTGTCCATTGTGCACCAGCCTCCCGGGGCTTCCTCCTTTTGTCCAGGATCATGGGAAACCCTCAGGGCAACATTGCGCCAAAGGCTGTGATCCATGCAGCCACAGCCACCTTCGTCACCTCAATCTGTCTCTCAAACACTGTCTCTAAGCATTGTTTACTTCGTGTCTTCTCCCAGTGCCTGTCTTTTGGGATTAGGTTAGAGCACTGTGGCTGAAGGAGATCCTCCTGTCTGGACTAGGTTATTTTGAAATGTGTGTGACTGCCCTTCCTTTAGCAGCTTCACTTCAGTCATGGCAAGCTGTGGACACCAGTAAAACCACTTGTTCATTTGGGGGAAAGGAGACGAGCTCTGATGAAGAGGACTGAGATGTTGATCCTTCTTCTCCAGCGGGGTAGAAATACTGATGCTCAGAGGCCCTTCAGAGCTGCCTTCGTGTCCTGGTTTCCAGGTGCTGCTCCAAGGGGTTAACGCCTTCTGTAGGGATGACTCTATGTGTATCAGACCAGTTCTTTCCCTCACCCTCTCATGAATCATTGGGTTTGAAGATATCTTGATATGAACAGTTTTGTTCTAGCTATATTCTCATCTGAGTCATACTGCAGTGCTCTGCAAAGCCTTTTCATTGTGTAGTGAGTCACAAACTGTAGTGAAGGGAATGTGAAAATGGAGCAAAGCCTGTGTTGCTTCTGGCAGCATGAGGCTAATGCCAGTGCTAGCTCTTCTGCCTTTTGCTGCTGAACAAATAAATATTGGTTATTGTACTAGTAGGGTCCATTTGCTTTCCAATTCAGTTGAACAATCAAGTGGCTCTGAGAACATGCCACTGCCACTGAGTTAATCTGGTTAGTAGTGTAAAGATGTCTGCTTGTGAATTATTTGACTGCACAGCACTGATACAACTGTAGTTTTGAGGGCAGAGTTGGTTAAAAGACTTGAGGAAGTGTGCAAGTTATCCCCTAGAGAGAATCAGAAAGGTGTGAGGAGCTTTGTAATCATCAAGAGGTATTGGGATGTCTGTCTGGGTTGGGTATCTCTAGTCCTGAAGAAAAGGGAACCGCAGCACTTTGTTGTAGCTCTCGACACGCCTAGACATTTAGAATTGTATTTAAACAGTGACGAACAAGAGGCCATTAAAGTTAAGCCACCAAATATCCTCATGTGCTTTTCTGTTTCTTTCTTAATTGCTACAAAATCTGCCAGAATCCATGTAAACACACGAGTTCTGTGTGAATTTGGCCAGAAGAAAGCAAAATCCACCAGCATACCTCCAAGAGCCATCTTTGCATCGCCTTAATGCTTTTCTCTGTGAGAGCTGGGATTGATCATGGGTAGATCCAATGGCAGCCACATGTGCTTGGAAAAAGGCTCGCTGAGTGATCACTCCAATTAAGCTGCGGAGCCTCCCTAAAGGAAGCAGTGATAAGAAGGGGGCTGTGCTGTAGTGCTTGGTTTTGGGAAGATCTCTCTAGCCTTGTTGCCCTGGAGTTGCATTTCATGCATCTGCCAGGGCTTTCTTGCTGTGATATTGTTTTCCTACCCGTGTGCATGTGCAATGGGGCACCCAGCAGCAAAGGGCTCACTAGATGCTGTATAAGCCCAATGATACTCTCTTCCTTTGACTTGTAGACTTTAATCGAAGGCACGTGTGTCCGAAACGATAGGCAAAGGTTCCTGCAAGGAATTGACTCTGTCAGGTACTTTTGCTGGCTTTGTGAGGCTGTTTCCCTACACATAACAGCTAATGTCGTTTTTGGAAGTATTTCTTGGCTGCAGAATCACGATGCAGTCCGAACTGCCAAAAAACTTGGATTAGAGAGATTGTTTTAGAACTTCCTCTACTGTACTGGCGTCTTATTTCAACTCTGAAACCGAGAGCCGTTCTGTAAATTGGAAACATGTGTATTAGTAAAGTTGGATGACGTGTTCTTGTCTAGTTGGCTCCAAGTCAGAGGGTAATGTGCCTTTCTTAGAGGGGGTTAGGCTGAGGTTTTCTTTCTTTCTTTCAGGAAT